AAAAACCCACAAAATATCCCATTTTATGGTGAGTTTACATTTCTCTATTGCTAATTGGAAGCCATCAAATAGATATATACACTTCGGCTTCTTAAAATTGGATGGTATATTTGATTATTCACATAATATTTAGTCTTCTTCCTCAATGATGCAACAACACATGGACACTATGTATGTATGTGCATCTAATGTGATTAATGTGTGGTGTCTGAACAGCGATAGTAAGCCCATTAGGGTTGTTGACCAATTATATGAAAGCCAACATGTGTGCCTGTTGGCAACTGAGAATGTGTAAGACAGCAAGCTGGCTTAACTCACGATAATGTATATCATTTTAACATGAATGTTTTGAATTCTGTAATTTTCAAAATTATTTAGAATACTTGCAATAAATATTTTCGAGAAGAAAAATTTATGATTTAAATTCATAAATAAGTTCAGGTTTTCCTAGAACTATTTTTATCTTACTAGCTTTAAAAATTCTGTTATAAGAATCAAGATATTAAAATTAATATTTTAGAAATATTTAATCCTTTTTAAAAAAACAGTTTTCAAAAAAAGAATAGTAATATTTTTTATGTGGTATTTAGTCGCTTTGCATTTAAATTTAGATGAGGATACTGCATTTTTGGGAAAATAATTTATCTTAAGGATCACAAGCTTACAAGTTTCAGTTCAACTTTTTTCTCCAGAATTTGAAAATTACGTTCTTCTTTCTGTTAAATATATATGCATGTAACAAAAGTTAAAAGCATTAATTGTTAACAGTTCTAAATAAGAACTGTTAACAATTAATGTTTTTAACTTTACTTGCGTTTTTTGTTTGGTTTACGTCATTTCATTTTCGAGAATGATGTTGCGGGCTAGTTTTCATTAATTTTGTTGGTAAAAAAAAAGCTGGGTTTCCATGCTATTAATGTTGTATCCCGGATTGTTCTTAATAAGAATGAACAGTCCCTTAAATACAACCGGATGCCATAGAATCAGTACAGCCCGAACCTTAGAAGAGTAGACATGTAACTATACACGTCAGTCTGCCACTATTGTTCTGGGACTTATATGACATACAGCGAACATACAGCAAAAAAAGGCGGAAACGGATCAATAATTTGAGGAAACCGATCAAAAATATGGGGAAACAGATCAATTTTAAAGTTTTAGAAAAAAGCGGAAACGGATCAAAAAAAAGCGGAAACGGATCAAAAATTTGAGGAAACCGATCAACAAATTGAGATTTTTAAAGTTTTTGAAAAAAGCGGAAACGGATCAAAAAAAAAGCGGAAACGGATCAAAAATTTGAGGAAACCGATCAACAAATTGAGATTTTTAAAGTTTTTGAAAAAAGCGGAAACGGATCAAAAAAAAACAGAAACGGATCAAAAATTTAAGGAAACCGATCAAAAATATGGGGAAACAGATCAATTTTAAAGTTTTTAAAAAAAGCGGAAATGGATCAAAAATATGAGGAAACAGCCCAAAAATATTGGGAATCCCCTCAAAAATATTGGGAAATCCCTCTAAAATATTTGAATAAAATAAAGGGGAAACGGATATACAATTCTGGGAAATCGATCAAAAAAAAAGAGGAAACTCCTCAAAATTTGAATTTAGAGGGATTTCCGAAAAATTTGAAGAAATCGCGGAAATGCCTCAAAAAAACCGGTTTTTGAGGGGTTTCCGCGTATTTTTGATCCGTTTCCGTGTTGAGTCGTTTCCGTGTTGAGGCGTTTCCATGTCACCAGGATGAGGAGATGGGAGGATGTTCCGCAGATTCTCTGGGACGTCATTATTAGTTTGACAGAACTCAATAAGGAGATGAGAAGCATCCTGTTCCCTACTCCTGGGGACACTGGATCCCATCAGTCCCCTGTTGTCCCCCAAATTAAGGTATGGGACACAGGGAGGGCTTGTGAGCGTGAATACAGACTGTATCCTGAATCTAGTAGAAAAGAGATCAGTGACAGACCGTCCAGCCAGGTGTTGGATCTACTCTGGATCATGAACGAGCGGATCAACCAGCAAACCTGGAATAATAGAGATATAGAACTGATTGACGGACTGAATAATATATCAGTCATGCACACTAGACTTAGTAAATTAACTGAGAAGGTGCTCAATGGTCAAGCTAAGGAACCTAACATGTAAAGGGATCATGGCTGATCATTATTATCAGATTATCTCCATGTATTAGTATGTATGCATTTATGAATATGTAAATAAATGTATCAACACTAAGGAAAGCATATTTATTACTTTGGGTGTTAAATATTTCATGAGCAAGGTTTACTCTGCATGATGGAGATAGCCCAAAGTATAATGTTGCAAGGTTGCAAAGATAGCAATTGCATAAGGGTTAGGTCCGAGTGATGGAAATAACCCGATGTGCAATGTTATCAGGTTGCAAAGATAATTGATCTTATACAAGTTAAATAACTTGAAGTGTGATCTTATCAAAGCTTGCTAATTTAAGTTTGCCAATTTATTGCACATTTTTAGTAGTAAGAGAATACTACATTAATCTATATATCTGCAATTTACAAGTTGAACCTGCCTCATATATTTAATCTTTTCTTCACAAACTTCTAGATTTGACCAATTTGAAGATGATTTCTGGTATGTCCTGGAGTTTGGTAGGATAACCCACATAATAGGTCAGAATGTTATGCTTATGATTTACTCCACGTAGATGGATTCCTCTGGTCTATTACCTAAACCCTGATATACAACCTGAACAAGCATTAGGAAAAAATTTCATTTCTACTAATATCATTCTTCTTCTACCATTGTTCTTAAAAATTAGTTTTGAGCACAGGAATGGATTGCTCTGATCTAAATACCTATAAAATTACACACAACATGAAAAACTATGATAGGTTGAACCCGTAATTACCCTATGGCCAGCAGCGTGCCAACCAGAATCGTAAAATTTTTTTTTTACCCAAGAAAGAGAATCCTTGTCTCTAGTACCCCAGAATTGACATACTACATGCAAAACATATGACAGGATGACCCAGAAGGTGACAGCTGGCTGCTAGCACGTTGATCAGAGTAGTTTTACAAAAGCTTTTACTAAGAAATGGATACTTGTGCCCAATTACCTATAAATCGACATACAACATGTAAAATATGTGGGAAGATGACCCATAATGTAAGTACCGGATACTAGCGTGCTTGTCAGAATGCTCTAATATTTATTTTGACCTCAGAAATGAATTCCTATGCCAAATTACCTATAAATTGACATACAACATATAAAAAATGTACTAAGATGACCCATAATGTAATGGTTGGCAACTAGAAGGCCGGTCAGAATGCTCCAATATTAAATTTGACCTCAGAAATGAATTTCTTGTGCCAAATAACATATAAATCGACATACAACATGTAAATATGTGGAATGATGACCCATAATGTAACTGCCAGCAACTAACCCGCCGTTCAGAATGCTTGAATATTTATATTGACCTCAGAAATGAATTCCTCATGCCAAATTACCTATAAATCGATATACAACATGTAAAAAATGTACTAAGATGACCCTTAACCCATTAGTGACGAGACAAAATTTTTTTTCTGATCTTGCTGAAATTCACAGGGTTAACTCATTATAGTGTCCATAGAGTAGATCTAAAGTTTCAATTTTTTTCAATAAAGGGTTGTGGAGATACAGAGGCCGGCCAATTTTGTCCGGCTCGGACCAGGTCAAAATTGACCGCCCGGTCAATTTTGACCGTCTGCAGCAGGAAACGGTCAATTTTGTCCGTCTCGGCTCGGACAAAATTGACCGGGCGGTCAATTTTGACCGATGCCGAGACGGACAAAATTGACCGGGACCTTATCTCTACTTAACTTCATTGAAAAAAATTGAAACTTGAGGGGGTGGGGTGGTGTTTATCATCTATACAGGGGGGTGTGCATGTACTAAACAGGGTGTGTGTGTATATTTACTACACTAGGGGTGGTTTATATATACTATACAGTCAGAATTTAAAGATGTTGACATTGTATTTACCTCCCAAGTGAAGCCGGTTTAACCTATCGACCTGTCACCTATTTGCAAAACTTGGTATACATGTAGGAAGGATCTGGAATAAAACGAGACGACATTTGGTTTAAAAATGAAGGCGCTAAAAATTAAAAACCTTACCCGGTCAAAATTGACCGTCCCGTCACGAATGGGTTAATGTAATGGTGGCTACTAGCGGTTTGGTCAGAATGCTCCAATGTCAATTTTGACCTCGGAAATGAATTCCTTGTCCCAATTTTGCTATAGTTTGATGTATCTCGTGCAACTGTTATTCTACCTTGAGCCAAATTTAACACATAAGTATTCCAAGGTATTTTCTGTTAAGCCAAAAATCAGCCTCCTATGACAATTCTAAATTCTAATATAAGTTTAAACACTGTTTTCCGGAGAATAAGATGTTTCATGCCCCCCCTTTTCTGTAATTGAATTAGGGGATAGTAACACAGAGGTATTAGAGACCATACACCCTTATTTGTGATACTTTAAAGCAAGGAGATTTATTTCCTGTATTGTAAACTAAGGTTTTTCCATTATTAAAGAATAAATGAGCACTAAATTGATTTGTCTGGAAGATTTGATATCAATCCATTGGATATATTCCATAAGTTTTAAAAATGTCCACCAATTTTTTAAATTAAACCTTAATGAATGCTACAGTGTCTAAAATGACATATTATTATATACCTTGTAGATTATTTTAATTATTTCAAGCTTTATTTTCTGAATAATTAGGCTTTTTTAATCTTTCTTTAGATTTGTATATTTTTTTACAACTCATAACCTAGAAATATACTGACATAACAATTTAAAGGACTTGGTCATTTGTCTTATATCTTTTTAATTTGTTAAAGAGAAAGCTTTCTCCTAAATTTAATTTTTACAAAAAGCTCAATTTGGTAAAAAAATTTAACTTTTTCCCCTTCATTTAAATTTTTTTGTTAACACATTAGTTGTAATAGAGTTTGATAAGCACCTGAGTTTCATTGTGTGTGATGAAGGAAAGAAAAAAGAGAAATAAAGTTAAACCTGCTGCAGAGCATAACACCCACAACCAAATAATCTAATATTTATTTCAGTATTCAATGTATGGCAACATGAAATAAAAGTTTGTGCAACAGTAGGTTTACCGGGTTTAATGGCTTAAAAAAGGCCATGAAATCAATTTCATTTCCAGGTCTGGTCATGAAACAAAATGTGTCCAGACGAAACATACTGCCTCCAAAATCTGCAACCTAGAATACCAAAAAGATTTCCAGAGATGATTTTGTTTTTGATGTACTATATCAATGAATGTCCTATCCTGTTCCAGAGAATCATATTTGATTGATAGAAACATGGGTTTAAAAATTCATTGGGATAATTTGAGTGAGTTAAATATTTAATCTGTAGCCTAAAGTTATAGTTTAAAATTACTCATGATTATCCTTTAAGCTAAACTCATAACTTTTAGTTATATTCTCAGATTGCTAAAATATAATTATTTTAAATTCTAATCTTGTGGTGAAATCTACTTAACTTAACCAACCTGAGTTCTGTCAAATGTTACAAAAAGCCCAGCCCCAGCTACATCAATCTCTCCTCTCTCAAGCATACCAATTAATCCATTGAATACAGAAGCTTTTCCATTGTATTTTACTCCACCAAAAACCTATCAGATTCAAATTTACTTGACTGCAAAGATGGAAATTAAGGTAAGCCTTTTTCCTAAAATTGATGAATTCCATTCAAAGGATTATTATTTGCTATGAGGTCTTGTACTAGAAGCCCAGCCTCTTGACCATCCAGTAAACTTTCCTTTGCATTAAAATGTACACAAATTGTTGTATTACTATTACTTAATAGTTAAGAGTAAAAGGTGATTGTGTCATAAATGAGAGTGGTAAAACTGTAAAAACCAGTGGGATAGGTCCTTAACCAATGGCATTACAAATCAATCCTTGTTATCCAAAAAAAGGGATCAATAAAAAAGCAAAATTACATGAAGGAATGAAAATGTGTTTATTGGAGATGAAGGAAATCCAATCCAAGATTATTTTCATGATTTGTACACCCCAGGAGGAACATGTATGTTAAATTAGAAATGAGGGATTTAACTTCATAAGTCCTTACTTTAGACCCCATCAAACCATCAATAGTGGGAACTAGCTTATATGTAAAGTTCATAATTTTGCTCATTGCATCAAAAGTTGATCCAACTTTTCCTTCAAGTTTGTCACCCCTCTTCCTAGAGTAAATTTAGAGAAAATAATGATATGATTAAATTATTAAGTATTCAGAGCCGGGGATTTAAAAAACTCAAGAAAATACAGCTCAGGTCTAAACTGTCGTCGCGCCTTATTTACGGCTTGAGCTTTGGGATTCTAACTGCATCTTATATCCTCAGAGTTGTGTTCAAAAACCAGTTTAATATTCTATTTGGCGGATTTTCATCGCAGGAATTGGCACATTCCAGGTTTTTATGAGAACAAGATTTAACATCAAGCCATATTCTCCACTAAAGCCAACCAAGGTCAGTTTTATGTTCATTGGGCCTAACTCCTGAGTGGAGCCTAAGATCTTGCAGCTGTCAATCACATGACACAAGCTGTCGTCAGAGATGAGTCTAAGATTGGGTCTTAAACTAGCTGGGTTTAAAGAATTACGACCCGAGCAGAAGCTTTTAAATTGTGGGCTCTGAGCCCGCGATTTGAAAGCTTCGGCTCGAGTCTTAATTCCTTTAACGCAGCTTTAAGACCCAACTCTAAAGACAGCTTGTGTCACGTGATTGACAGCTGCGAGATCTTAGGCTCGACTTAGGAGTTAAGCCCAATGAAAATAAAACCGACCTTGGTTGGTTTTAGTGAAGAATAAGGCTCAATGTTGGGTCTTATTCTCATCAAACCCCGGAATGCGCCAATTCCAACTATGAAAATCCGCCAAATACAACATTAAACTGGTTTTACGAACTAAATTCTGTTGAAAAATAGTTGCAACTTAAATCCGAAAGCCTGAGCCGTATATAAGGCTCAACAACAGCTTAGACCCGAGTCATATTTTCTTGAACTTTTTAAATCGCCGGCTCAGTTATTTTATTTTAAATAGTTACTTGGTTAAAACAGTTGCAGTGGAGTAGCCAACAGTTAATGTTATGCCTTGCAAGTCAATTCTATATACAATACAAATGTAAAACTCAGACTTACTTTAGAAGCTTTCAAGTCAACTCGATTTACAATTCAAATATGATACTCAGGTTTACTTTATAATCTTGCAATTTAATTCTATTTACAATACAAATATGAAACTCAGATTTACTTTATAATCTTGCAATTTAATTCTATTTACAATACAAATATGAAACTCAGGTTTACTTTATAATCTTGCAATTCAATTCTATTTACAATACAAATATGAAACTCAGATTTACTTTTAAAATTATTTTATCTAGTGCTAGTGCTGATTAATGGACACTTTTTTATAATTTGTTTGTTATCAGTTTTAAAATACTCATAGTGTTAATCATGTTCAGTTTGTTTAAGTTCCAACTGAAACAAATTAATAGATGGAATAGATAATTGCAGTTGGAGGCAAGTGTTAAAATTCATTTATTGTTTACTGTGCTAATATTAATAAATAAAAGTTTCAATTAAAGGTTACGCTGAGCTTCCCTATTATTCTTTGATGGTGGAATTATTGGTAAATGTAGGGTAACACTGTCAGACACTGACTAAACAATAGAATTTTAGTTTTCCTTAAGGACACATTGACATAATATACCCTATAAACAATTTTAAAGTTGGCCTGAGCTGAAAACTTTAGAATGGTGGGTATCAGGATAAATGCTTGATCCTCTCTTTTTCATAATCTCAAGATTAACATAATCTTGCAAGATTATCTTAAAAGTGTATGAAAAACTGTAGTCATCAGAGAAACTGTAGCAGCCAATCAGAGAAAAGCAGGCAACCAATGAGAGAACAGAAATATTCTCAGTGGAGAAAACAATTAACGTATATCCAAGGAGAGAGAAAAAGAGTGGATTAGGACAAAAATGAAAAGTTTCCACAGTTGATATTCGTATTAATAAGTCAGGATTAAAGTTTATTCATTCTATAGTTCCCAGCTCTGATCAAACTTTTTTGTTTTCATATTGAAAAATTGATGATTCTTTAAATGAGTGTCCTAAAAATTTAGACAAATGAAAGGATATTTTGTCTATTTTTTACTTACTGTTCGAACGATGAAGGTTTAGAGGGAATTGTTATAAATCAGTGTGAGTGAAGAAATATTGCATTGCAGTTACATACCTTTAAGGTTTTGATTTCTAATATTTCAACATTGTTTTTAACTAGAAATTTGCTGTTTCCTTCTCCTTCCATGATAAACCTTAAAGCATGAGATCAGAGGTTAAAACTGTTGAGAGATTTAGTGTGATAATCAGACATTTAGACAATCCACGGAAAATTGCTAAATTCATTAAATTAATTCAATACAGGGGAAGACTTAGCCAAGACCAGACTTTTGAGTGTCAGATTTTGGCCAACTGCACAAAGTTTTCTTTTTAAACTGGTTATATTTTACATTTAAAGTTAAAAAGAAAATATCTGTTAGCTCAGTTTAAGACTACATTTCATGACTAAATTTTGAATATTCAACTCCTATAATAAGGAAAATATTAATTTCTGATGTTATTGATTTCATTTTAGAATGTGTAACATTTTTGAAGCCAATTCAAAGTTTGGGTGCAAAACACATTTTGCAACATGTTGTGATTTTGAAACATTTTACAGATTTGAAACAATAATTTTTTTCAACCATTTACACAATTCAGTAACAATACAAGCTTTTTGCAAACATTAAAACCTAAATATTGAAACAATAAAGATGTAGAACATATATCTTGTTCTGAAATTTCAAAAAAAAGAAACTTTCAATAAAATTATTTATATAAAAGATAACATTAAAAATTCCAACATCAATATTATATTGTTTTAACAGTAAAACTGAACAGAAAATTGCTAGAAATTATAAATTATAATTGAAGGAAACATAAAACCATCACGTAAATTGTCCTTATTGGAAAAAAAGGTTTACACTCTTCTTGCAGATAGAAAAACTTGGGGTTGGAAATTAATTTTGATACATTTTAATATCAGTCCTACGTAAAATGTCAAAAATTATTAAATAAATAAATAATAATAAATGAAAAAATATGTCTACAGTGATAACACTTTAACACTTTTTCTCCATTTCAGAGTTTTCTGGTTAAGTGTATTTGATGTTGTTACAATGCAAACTGTTCTACTAGACGCTTATTAAATCACTAATGAATTGAAATAGGTCTGTTTACACTGACAACTGCTATGTTCCATGGTCATTGGGCTATTTAAAGTCATAACTTGAGTCTAAATATCGTCTTCCTAATTCAAAGTTTTCTGGTTGTCACTGTAAAAAAAGACAACATACAAAAAAGGTAAACAAACCTGGGAAAAAACATAGAAAATAATACAAAAAAATTTTTAAATTCTTGTAAGAATTTTGGTCAACTTTTAAGAATGGTGGTATTCATTAAACTAAATGAAATGAATATTGAATGTGAGGGGAGGAAGGTTAGAATTAGGTTGACTGTTCAGGTCTCAAAGTTCCGAAATTTGGGGTTGAAACTCAAGATATTTTCAGGGGCAGGGGGGGGGGGTTATGTGTTTGTAAGTAAGAAATAGGAACATTTAAACAATTAACAATGCAATTAATTGTAGAAAGGCGAAAATCAGAACAAAACATAAATAAACAACAATCATCTTTATTCTGCACATGACGAATGATTTAGAAGATTAAAATATTTTCTCTGATTCATGCTTTTTTGTAAATTCTGAAAGTGCGTTTTGTTCTGGAGTGTTAAATGTTTTTAAATTATTGATTGTGTCAAAAGTTGTCCAAGATTCAAATTTGTGATTGTTATTCAGTATAAAGGAATGCTCACAGTTTTAATGTTTGAAAAGGAGTAAATAATCTTGTTATAGTTCTTGATGTGCTTGAAAATATGTTTGAAGTAGTTTCTTTACTTGATATTTACGTTCAGCACAGGAAGAGTTACTAAAATGTTAATCATAATATTTGAGCCCCAGCCTGACAGCCCAAGACTGACACTCAGTGTCAGGTTTAGTTTGGAACTTTCTTCCCCTACAGTTTGGAATATTGCCTTCTGAATGGACCTCAGAATAATATCAAAATTGTTGCATTTGGATCAAATGAACAATTCTCTCAAGGGCAGATTCCATGAAGATTAAAAAGTAGTTGCTATTTTTCAATTCTGACCTTAAGGTTACTCATACTAATTATTTGGATATTTAAAATGTCTAGGAGGAAAAGGGTAAATGGTTAGATATTCTATGAAGTAATATTTAGACTTTTACCTTGAAATAAACCATTCTGCAGATGTGTCAAAAATGGCAAAGGCTTTATTAGCATTAACTTTCTCCTTAAATAATATGTTATAAATCATTGAGGTATTGGTGAAATCAGAACTACACAGCATTTCTAATGCCCAAAAGCAATTTCAGAAGGATTTCTGGTTCAATAAGGAAGTGCGTCCTCTTCATACAATTAAATTAAGTAAGTTCAATCATTATTGTACGATTACTATTACTAAAAGTAAATAGTAAATAGTTCTACAGGTGTACAGTATCGGCTCGAACAGAACATCCCAATCAACATTACAATGGTTGGCAGTTCCGGCTCTTAGTGGCTCACAGCTGCTCAATATAATTCAAAACTTAAGCTAACTTTTATCTCAGACACTCTCTATTACTTTCCTTAAATGATCATCCTATGTTGAATGCATCTCATACTCAATATTATGGAATATATAATCTGAGAAAAACCAAAATTCAAAATAAAAAATGTTAAAAAAACTAATAAATAAAACAATTTTGTAAAAGATAAATATGTAAAAGTAAATAGTGACTAGAACTCAGTTCTACAGTTGGACAGAATCAGCTCCAACAATTCATCCCAATCAACACTGCTATGGTTGACAGCTCCCAGCTTTTCATGGCTCAGCTGGCTGAATAAAACCCAAAACCCTAACTAACCAGCCAATTTTTTAGACTTAGAACATGTGCTTGAATCTCTTTTTGAAAAAATGATCGTTTGTGAAAAAAAATTTTTTTTGACAATTATGTTAGCGACTGTTAACAAAGGGTCATCGTTAACAAAAGGTCGACGTTAACGAAAGGGTTTTTGTTAACAATCGTTAACAAAACGACAAACTTTATCAAAACGGTCGTTTTTGGAAAAAAATTGCATGCAACATTATTAAATGTCATCTTACATGAAGTTTAACAGTTGTGGGGGAGTTAAAACTCCTTGATATTTTCTTAAAACTACTCAGTGATAAGTACAAATGCCCTTTAGGTTGGTTTCCTCACTTCGTTAACGATCCTTATCAAAGGGGTTGTCGTTAACAATCATTAACGATGGGTTTTCATTAACAATTGTTAACAAAGGGTCGACATTAACAAAGGTTATTGTTAACAATTGTTAACAAAGGGTCCTTGTTAACGATCGTTAACGAAGGTCCGCAGTTAACAATTGTTAGCAGAGGGTTGTCGTTAACGATCATTAACCAAACGACAAATTTTATAAAAAGGATCATTTTAAAAACGACCATTTCTAAAAAATGAACTTTTTAAAAAAGCAATCGTTTTTAAAACGATTGTTTCGTTTTCGATTTTCCGTCGTCGTTTTCATAACGTGAAACAATCGTTTTTCTGAAAAATTAAAACGTTAACATCCCTATCTGTATGTATCTAGTCTGTGACATCTAATGAAGGTTAAGTACACTACTTAATATGCCTGTAAAAGGCAGGAAAAAGCCCCTAAGTGAGGTAATATGTCATATTCCACTTAAGGAATTTAATTACTCAGATGGTCAGAAATCCTTCTGCAGAAGTTTGCTTTTAGGAATACAGAAGAGGGAGAATAAAGTTGCCTTGTGTCTTGATTTGTTTAGATACAATGAACTATATTAGTTGCATAACCCTTGAGGTCTTGATTATTTGCTATTTTGGATTGAAAATATCTCTTTTCATACATTGTTATTTTATTATGCTTTACCTGAATTGGAGTCTTGCAAAAAATTATTGTTGAATCATCCAGACTTTGAGTAGATAAATTCTAAATTTTATTTCACTATTTGTATACTTTTGAACTGCTTTAAAAAGTATTGCATTTATCCTGCTAATTTACTTAGGATATTTGGTGTATCCCCCAGATTAGCTAATTTTAGTTATGAGTTTATTTGTGTCTAAATTTTAATAATTATAAAAATTTACTATTGTAAAAGTTCATGAAGCTCTTATAATATGTAACTAAAATCAATGCTGCTTACAAGCCTTATCTTTTTTACTAGGCAGAACTACACATCACTTGGGAAAGCCTTCTAAATCAAGACAAACCTTGAATGGTTATTAAATGGACAGAACTCTGAGATCTCTTCAGATTTTGAGCAATAAAAATTGTTTTTTCAATTTGCTGATGGGGAAAGTCAATGGAAGAGAATAAAGAATGGAGGCGTAATGTTTGAAGACAAAAATGACTGTAATATATTTTTTATAGTATGTTTTGTACTCAATATTTCAAAAAAAAAAAAAATTCAAGTATATAAATACCAGCAAATGTTTAATCTTAAGATGTGGTTGAGTTGAGTAGTGAAGATTAAGAGCTCCAGCAACTAGTTCATCACTCTCTTCACAGAGAACCAGGTTTACCACTGTAAAAAACCATGATCAAGGGAATTAAATCTGTTTACAATCAGGAATATGTAAGAACAAGAAATTTTAAAAGCCAGCGTTTTTACAATGAAAAGAAAAACAAATTAGAGGTGGTCTAGAAAAATAGAAATCAATCATGAAAATAAAAAATTAAATGAGAACCAAGTTTTTTTTCAGGGGATGCAAATTCCCAGCTTGGTTGTATTTCAAAAAGAAAAAGAAAAGCCCAGAACTCTTTTGTTCTGAATCAAGCAGTAATCTTTAAATTTGGTCTCTACAGGATTCTATTAGTACCTCTTGAATATCCTGTGTTCTAAATGTAGGAAGGTGAACTAAAAGTTGCCCATTGAGCACCTGTTTTAAAGTTTCCAAATGCATGGATTTAAAAATATTGATCTCTTTGTTCTTATGATTTCACTTAAAACTAAAAACTCAGAACTAGATAGGGAAGGGGGGTTGTAATCTGAGGTTGGCACTTTTTTGGTGTGAAACGTCATTTTCAATTTGGCCCTATTAAATTTGAGGTTAAATGCTATATGCCTCAAATGTAGTTAACCCTGTAGGTTATGACCCCCACAGACCATCAAAGACAAATTATATTTAATCTTATTTCTAGGGCTGGGCACATTCCGACTTTTTTTAAATTGTTCTGTTCCGTTTTAGAGCAAGGGCCTTCAGCTAAATTCTTCTGTTCTTGTTCTTCTTTTTTATCGTTCCATTCTCATTCCGTTCTGTTTTGTTCTGAGTAGAAGAACGCTCTTCCCATTCCGTTCCGTTCTTGGCATTCTTAGTTGAAGAATGTTTGCATCCCTCTTGTTCTGTTCTTAATCAAGAACATTTCAATTCCCCGTTCCGTTTTTAGTAGCCAACAATTCCATCCAAGACATAAGTTTTATAGAAAAGAGTTGGTTAAAAAGTAAAAAAATTACGATTTTTTACTAAAAAGTTCGTCACTTTAAATTATTAATTTTAAAGAACCTGTCAAATCATTCGTTGGGATGTTTAAAAAGATGAAAATTTCCCTGTATGATAATTGAAGGACTGCAGTATGGTTTTGGTGAATTATATTGACGTACTAAGCCTAAGGGTGTTAGAAATGATTTTTTTTGCATTTTTTTGAAAACGTCCAATAATCCTAAAAAAGTTTAATTTTGATAAAACTTTTTGTTCTGGATAATTACAAATATAGGTGATCAAATAAAAAATCTTTAACTATTTCTAGAGGATTTAGAACACATTCCTGATTTAAAATGCATTCCCAATTTAGAGTGCGTTCTTGATACTATGAACGCATTAACAATTTTAATCATTCTTTTCAAGCAATTCCCGTTCCGTTCTTTTACTAATTGTTCCAATATTTTTTAGAACCCGTTCTAAGCTTTTGTTTTTTTTTCAGAACAATGGGATCGTATTTGATTGTTCCGTTCATTCTAAGGAAAAAACGACCCTTCCACCAGGAACACGCCTAGCCCTACATAAAGTCTGCATAAGATGGAGATCTTTTTTGAACCCAAAGGTTCTGAAGTCATATGTCACACCTAACTTAAGAAGGTCTGGTTGGAGTCTGACCAGATTGCTTATAAATTCCAGTACTTGAGAGGAGCTCATATCAGCCAGGGTACAGGAAACCACAACAGACATCAGTAGATTTAGGATTCTCATCATGTCATTTTGTTTGCTCTCAGATCTTAAAGGCGCCACATTAATATTCCAATATTTTACAACGTACATATTTACTTCCAGTTTAGGTGAGAGGAGTGTTATTTTAGCTATAAATACCTAGAAATCGGAGGACAACTTTTCGATTAAGGAGGCCCATTTTAATCCTTTAGTTTTTTTTTAAATTTACTAGTTAAACTATTTGCTTTGTATCAATATCAAACATCAATGTTAAGTATTGCTATAAAGTTGTCTTCCTATTTCACAAGCTATTTTTTGGTGGTTTTATTCTTAATGTTTTAATACCTGCAAATTTACAGAAGATAAAAAATTGTTAGTTTCTTTTGTTTGAGTTTGTTTATGTAGGAATGATTAGTTAATTACAAAAATGTATAATGTACTTTTTACAAAAAGATGTTTTTTTAATTATTAATGTACAAATTCTTCTGAGCATTTTAGAATTATAATATTATTTTCCTGTTCTTACAATCTCATGCCTACTTGACTGTAAGTGAAGTTTTATATAATCCTCCATAATAAGGGATGTTAACATTTTCATTTTATGAAAAAAACGGAAACAGAACAATCGTTTTAAAAACTATTGTTTTTTAGAAAATTTTTTAGAAACGGTTTTTTTCAAACGATTGTTTTGCAAAATGATCACTTTTATAAAGTTTGCCATTTTATTAACGATCGTTAACAACAACTCTTCATGAACAATGACCCTTCGTTAACAACAACCCTTCATTACCGAAGAGAGGAGGAGAGAGAAAACCTCTCTGAAGGGCATTGGTACTTATCATTGAGCAGTTTTTTAAGAATATATCAAGAAATTTTAGCTCCTTTACAACCTTTTACCTTCATATTAGAAGACAAGTGATAAAGTTGCATGTATTTTTTTTTCTAAAAACGACAGTTTTTATGAAGTTTGTTGTTTCGTTAACAATTGTTAACATATCTATCAAAAATAAATTTCAAACGATAGTTTTTTTAACAACTGTATAAAAACTATTGTATTTATAAATATTATAATATGTATATTGTATAATTGTATATATAAATATTGTTGTTATAATATAATATTGTTTTCAATTTTACAATCTCATGCCTACTTGACTGTAAGTGAAGTTTAAAATGATCCTCCATAATAAGGGATGATAAACGAAAAAAACGAAAACAGAACAATCATTTTAAAAACTATTGTTTTTTAGAACCGTTTTTTTTTTCAACGATTGTTTTGCAAAATGATCGTTTTTATAAAGTTTGGCATTTCATTAACGTTCGTTAACAACAACCCTTTGTTAACAATCATAAAAATAAAAATAAAAATTTCAAAAATGATAGTTTTTTAAAACTATCGTTTTTATAAATATTGTAATATATATATTGTATAATTGTATATATAAATATTGTATTATATAATATTGTTATTCGTTTTCTCAAAGTTCAAAACAATTGTTTAACAATCCTTTTCATAAATGATTAACAACCCTCTCCATATAAAGATGGCAATGTTTTATTTCACATCAGTGTCCTTAAAGACGTTCACTTAAACTTGCGCTTACAGACCCTTTGAAACACTTTTTCCAATTGTTGTCCCTTAACCATTATGTGTGGACACTAATGAAGATTTTACCAATTACTCCATCAACCCTAGCATAAAAATTATATTTTGCTTCTGAAGTCTAAACTATACTGTTATTTTACTTTGTCAGTAAACTGGCAGAGCCAATATTGAATTTTAAATTAGTATTTCTTAACAATTTGTTATTTCAAAATATTAAGTGACAAGCTTTAAAAACATGTCAGCTAATAATATTCAGAGACATAAATAATCATTATGTTGTTGTGTAAGTGATGTCTTATAAACATGTAGAATAAAATTGAAAAAAGGAAAACAAACAAAACTGTACAGTCATTTTTATAAAGTTAAAATCAAAATTTAGTTTTTACCTAAGAATAAGAAGATTTCAATTTCAAGCTTAAGGAAAGAGTTTTAAAAGACCATTCAGATGAAGGGTTGAGTCCAGTTAACTAGGAATTTTCTTCAATAAATGAGCAAACTATGAACAGATTGTTTTAAATTGTCAAGATCAATCAAAATTGATTAAAAAAGATATCATTAATGATCAATCACCATTAACAACTTAAATGTTAAAAAACAATAATATTGATAGACAACCATTAAAATATAAAACAAAAAAATGTGTTATCTTTAAAATCACATATGTGGAAAAAAGCAAGATGTAAGCCCTTCCAGAGTCAAAGGAATATAAAAACTATTCATTGAAAAAATTATAAACTATCCTGGGTAGAATATTGTAAACAATTAGGGTTACAAATTATATAATAAAGAATATCTGTTTTTAGGCCAATAATCAATATTCTCTTCTTTTCATAAAATTCACTGATAAAACCACAAATTAACATAAATTGGTACCCGTACTGCATTTCTGGCTGGTATAGTAATTATAAGTTGGTAAGTGAGAGGGGAATGTTTTTATGTCCCCTGTTAATCATTTTGTCCTTAAAGGTCTCCTTATTTTTGAATATTCTATGCACCAATTTTTAATAGTTGAGAGGAGGTCTTCTTTTATAAACTCAAAGAAAGTAGTATAGGTAAAGTATATGTTATACTGTCCTTTATCTTGCATCATCCCAATTCATTTTAATTGATTTTCAAAATGTATCATTATTCACAGAGAGGTGATTATCTGTTTGTTTTTGTAAATCTGTCTGAGAAGTTTTTTTATTATATTTCATTTTCCTTTTTTTTTTGAATTTTTGAATTTTTGAATATCATAAATTCAGCATAAAAAGGATTGTGTTTACTAAACTTTTATTCAAATTGTTTATTTAATAAAAAAGCTAACAAAATTGTTCATGAATGATCAGGAGTGCTTGAGCAATTTAATTTTTTTTTTTTTAAATCCTTTTTATTCCTTTCAACGATCCATTTTTTTTGTTGATAGTTGTAATTTGTTTCTTTTAGTTTTCTCTAGATCTAGCTGAAAAAAAACAAGCATTGTATTGTAATATATTCTGTGGTAATGCTTGATGCGATCTATTTTATTTATTTTATTTATGTTAGTAATTTATCTTAACTATCTGTATTTTGACCCTGTCTGGCTAGCCCGGTCAGTTTAATTCACCTGTATATAAAATAAATTAGTTCAATACGAAGTTTTGAGTTATACGGACATATACAGAGCCTTGAGTTTTGGCTAGAGATTTAGAGCATGGAGTTTTGGCTAAAGATAGAGTCAGTTAGACTGTAATTAGACTTTGAGTTGAGTTATCTCGGGAGCTAGATTTATTACCAAAGTGGTGGCAGCGGTGGGATGACCTAGGACCCAGATCTTGATGCCCGATACTCCGAAAGTATTCCGGAAAAAGAGTAGAGTGAAAACCTGGTTTAACGGATAAGCCAGAGAAGTTTAAACAGGAGAGGATTTGCCTGTGAGGGAATCAAGTGTGGCTACAGGAAATACCGTGGCTACCTTTCAAGGATATCTAAGTCTACACAGTGACGATTATGGATCGGAAGTAGAGATGGAGGGACCATCTTACCCAGTGATAGATGGCATGGCGGAGATGAGGCAGCAGTTTCAGATGCTACAAGCCCAGTTGATGGAGACTAAGGAGAAATTGGCGAATATTGAGCAGAAAGATAAGGATAAATCATTCACTCAGACGTGGCAATAGTCAGCTACACCAGAGACACAGGATCCTATCAAACGTTTAGTTGCAATACTAGAACGACCTAAAGTGGGAGATGCTCAAAAAGTTTACTTGACTTATCTGAAGGGGGAGAAGGCGGCTGGCAGAGGAGATAGGCTGACATTGAGAGATCTGAGCAGGGCGGGGGCTGAGTATAAGAAGAAGCTGTTGGAATTTAGCTGTAGAGCCCCGACCTGCGATGGTAACCCTGCCAGAGTGTTTGACTGGTTTGGTGAATTAGAGAAGCATCTGTCAAGAAGTGAATGTGAAACGATCCCTAATAATGCCATAAAAAGGATGCTGCTAGACTGTATAACAGAAAAAGCACAGTCCGAGATAGTATTGTTGAAACCTGATGGATTAGCTTTTGACAATTACAAGATTGGTGAATTCTTTCAAGAATTATAAAAGAAGTTCACTCACCAGAAGGATGAGGAGGGCAGGAAGATGGAATACTTGCAGAGGAGACAGGCAAGAAATGAAGATGCTAGGCAGTATTACACAGACAAGTTAAGATTATTCGTGCAAGCATACCCCCCAGCCTGGAGAAGTCTAGTGGAGTTCAAGACTAGTATGTTGTCTTGTCTGATGTTTATGCCTATAGAGATTAAACATGAATGGGAGACTAAGACAGTTCTGGACCACCAACTGGTAAACCTAAGGACTTACAATATGGACCCAAGGGCGTAGCACAGGATATGGCAGGCTTACATAGCACTTATGGGTATGATAGGAGTAAGTACAACAAGGCCAAGGAGATGTTGAAGACAGGACAGGTGCCCATGGACGTTAACGCCATGCCTAGGCTGGTGGGGGACGAGTCTGATGCCGAGGATTTAGATGTCAAGGGTGGTGTAAATGCCCTGCAGAATGGAGATACGTGTTATATTTGCAAGAAAACTGGTCATCAGAAGAGGGACTGCAGGAAGTTTGAAGAATAGAAGAAGAAAAACCCTTACAAGAAACCTGGGGGAAACCCTCATATTGTTACTTCCTGACCATCAATTTTGTGTTATAATTGTGGGAAAGAGGGTCATGTTTCACAGGAGTGCAGAGGAGAACGTAGGAATCAGGGAAGGAGAGGGAATGGCGGATATGGAGGAGGACAGGTGCAGATACGGCGAAATCTTTGACAGTGGTACAGGAAGTTCTGAAGAAACTGGTACCAGAGGCGGTTTTTCCCTAGGGAGTTGCAATGACAGACGGTTGTCAACTCCTATGATTGCAGAAAATATTGATTTGAATGTAAATAATAATCGTTTAATAAACATTTCTGTTAATCC